GTGTGTGTTGCGGGGGGCGGGGGGCGGGGGTTGGTGGTGTATGTATGCGCATATAGAAACTGGAGCTTCGTGTCAGGAATCATCCGCAGTCTTCTACTTTATTTACTGAGGCAGGGTCTCTCAGTCAGACGCAAAGTTTGCTGATGCTTAGTCTAGCTAGCCATCTTGCAATGGTCATCTCCTGTTCTCCGCCTTCCGATTCTGAGATTACAGACACGATACCCAGCACTTACATGAGTTTCTGGCATCTGAACGCTGGCCCTCATGTTCGTATGGCAAACAATTCAATTGCTGAGCTAGCCCCTCAGCTTCGGATCCCTCTTTTGAGACAGAGTTCCACGTAGCTCAGGCTGGCCTTGAACTTGCTGTGTAGCCAAAGATGATCTTGAGTTTCTGACCCTCCTCCCTTTACCTTAGGGTACTGGGATCATACCCACCTCAGGTGGTTCTGGGGCCTGAATGCAGGGCCTGTATATGTATGTGCTAGGCAAGCACCATATCAGTCAGCTGCACCCAGACCCCATCTCACCTTTTCCAACGCATCGCAGTGATTTCTCTCAGTAAAATTGTGTGAGAGGTGATGGGAGATGGTGGTAAGAGGATCTAGTTTTTCAAAGGGCTTGGGAATGATGCTGAAATGGAATCCTTAAATGCTTATAACGTAAAGTCCCTTAGATTTTGAGAAATGGATTCTGAGTCTGAATAGCTTCTATGTCTCATACAGGACGTGATTAGCAGAGGATTACTTTCTCCAAATGTAGCTCATGGAAAAGTGCTCACACCTGGGGGCTAGGAGTCTGGACTGACCCTGTGCTGCGTGACCCTGGCTCACCACTGGAGCATGCTGGACTTTAAACCAGAGCATGTTAGCATGTTAGCCTGGGCCATGCTTATGCTCAGCAATATAGGAGGAGTCTTATTCATTTACTTTATGAAACCCAGGCTGGCCTTGAACTCAGGATCCTCCTGCCTCAGTCTCCTGGGTGCTGGTATCACAATTGTTCCATGTGCCTTCGGCACATGTGAAGCATTTGAAGGTTTTAAAGTTGAAGCTGCTCATCTATCATTATGAAGACAGCAATGAGAAGGGCGAGATGTGACATTTATTGGGTGCTTGATATGGCTTGGCTGCATCTAAATAGTCTATTAATTCAGCCCTAATAGTAACTCCATGGGGTAGGAATGATTCTTTCTCCCATTTTTCAGATGAGGAACTGAGGTAAGAAATGTACTCCAGGTCATGGAGATGGCAAACTGAAGGCTGGATTTGAATGCCAGGGCTTTGGTTCTGGGGTCTGTATAGTTACTCCCTGTGCTGCAGGGGCCTCTTAATGGTTTATGGCCTTTCGTGATGCTTTGCCAGTGATTTTTAGGTCTTTGAAAAGAAATGTGAAAAAAAATGTACTTTGTTTTACCTCTAGACAAATTCAGCGAAAAGTCAGGATTTTATCCTGGACTTCAGTAAGGAATAGGACATATCTCTAGCACATCTGAATACTCACTTGACTGCTACATTTTTTTAGACACACACACACACACACACACACACACACACACACACACACACACACACATTAGATCACGGCTGGCAAGATGGCTCAGCGGGTAAAGTTACTGGCCACCTAGTCCGACAGCCGGAGTCTGGTCCCTTTGATCCACATGGTGGAAGGAGACAACGTGTGTGAGTGTGTGTGTGTGTGTGTGTGTGTGTGTGTGTGTGTGTGTGAGAGAGAGAGAGAGAGAGAGAGAGAGAGAGAGAGATCTTAAAAAAATCTTAAAAAAAAAAACTAGGTTGGTTAGCAACATGATTCAAGAGGTCAAGAAAATAACCTCATTCCCAGGTCTTTATTCTATATATTCTGTGTTTGCTCAGTGGAAACAACCACTTTAAATATCGTGACAAACAAACAAACAGATGTATGCACATGTTGACTATGTTTGAGGAGGTGCTTAAGCTGACTCATCAGAAAAGGGCAGAAGGCTTCACTCTGGTGGCCAGGATGCCAGTGCTCCATGGTTAGGCCTGTAGCATCGCATGAACAAGTCTATTCCAAGATAACAGCTAATGATGTCAAGTGCCCTGGGCGCCTAGCACCAAGCTGTAAGGTCAGGCAGGGCAGAGCCGTCCACCCAGTGAGGTCAACCGGAGGACCTGCCGCTTCTGTCCCTCCCGTGCAGAGGCTGGAAACCCAGTGCAGCCTTGAAACGGACATTTAGATACAATAGTTTGGCATGTGAAGAGTTCCTGGTAAATATAATGTGAAAAGTGCAGGGTACGACACTGTGTGCACAGCTTGATTCTGATTTGTTGGTGGGAAATGGTGTTTCGAAACAGCAGCAGGAATGTGGGTATAATAATGTATCCAATGTGAGTGATTTTTTTTTTCCTGTTTTTTGAGATAGGGGTCAATATATATAGTTCAGGCTGGCCTCAAACCTTCAATCTTGTGTCTGAGCTTCCCAAGTGCTGGGATTGCAGTGCAGTGCCTTGCTTGACAGATGTCTTCTTTATACTTCCCTGTGTCACCCACAGAGTCCACAGTGGAGCTGGGGAGATGGCTCGGGAGACAAAGGGTTTGCTCTGTGAAAACAGGGACCTGAGTTGGATTCCTCAGAATCCACGTCTACTAAAGCTGGGTAGAGTTCTGTGAAATGGCTCAGCCAGTGATGGTGATTGCTGCCAACCTGAGGATTGTTCGGTCCTTGGAGCACATATGGTGAAGGAGAGGACACACGCATGTATGCATGCACGCACCAACTGTGGTGGCACACACTTCCAATGCCAGCTCCGTTGTACCAGACACAGGCAGGTCTCTGGGGCCACCAGCCTAGCCTGAGCAACAGCATCCGGGGTTGTCTTTTGGCCCCTACACATACTCACACACTGTGCATGGGCACACATACCCAGAAATGTAAATAGTCGTCTATAATGGACACACGGTATTTTAATAATGAAGTAAAATTCTACCAAGTGTCTTGTTAAAAAGTAATAGTTTGGAACAGTGCTTTTCTTGAGAAAGTCAACGTTTTATTATATTATGACTCACCCATCTCCAAAATGCCAGGGAGGGAGCTCTCTTGCAGACCCCACAGGGACTTTCGGTTGTCTCTGTGCTGTGTTCAAAGATGCGCTGCGCTCATGGTCTCCTGGAGGCCCCATGTGTGGGTCCTGCTGGAAGTCTGCCACCAAGGCTCCCCAGGCTCCTGCAGAGCGTCAGCGTGGTCAGGTTTTGGGTACAGAGAAGTCAGTGCTGCTCTGTCACTTAAATACAGCAAGCCTTCCTGCAAGGTTTTTACTTTTGTGAAAAGTATTTGATTACTTCAAATAAGCAGAGAACGATCTGTGGGAACTCCCTGGTGGTGCTGAGCCTCTCAGTGGAATGGACTTACTCAAGGTTATTGTCAGGTTCATGTTAGAACAGCAACAGCGTTCTGAAAGGTAAATTGGGACACTCCTGGCTCCCAGGTGCATGTGTCCTTTCTAGAAAATTTGTTGGTTTGAATTTAATAAAGTTCTGTTTTTACAAATGTGCAGTCTGTTGAACCTGCTCCTGCTTCTTTGGCATCTCCATCCTTTGTGCTTCTGGTGTAAATTACTTGGGCCCTGCACTTTGAAGTCAGTTTGATGCCTCCTTTCCTAAAGCGGTCCTGAAGGCTGCTCTGGCCAGGGAATGAGAATCTTCAGTCTCTCAGAGACCACAGCTGGAGTGGTATGTTCATAGTTGGAAACTCTTCATGGGGCCTCCAGGAGACCATGAGCGCAGCACGTCTTTGAACACAGAACGGAGACAGCCAAAAGTCCCTGTGGGATCTGCAAGAGTTTGGCAAACATAGATTTGCCAAACAGGACCCAGTGGTTGAGTTTGTCCTTCACTTGGCTCTTGGGTCACCTGTTTTGGCCTCATCGGACAGTTGTTTACTGGGTCTTTATCTCTTTGGCTAACTTTCTGGCCTTTTTCTTTTTGTTGTCATTCTTGGGCAACACAGCGAAACCCAGGGAGCAGTGGCAAGGGCTGCAGCTCGTTGAGACCCTTCCTCCCCGTGGGGTGTGTATGAGCTGGCTTCTTAGGAAGCCAAGCCAAGCGCTTTCCCTGGGCAGCACTTCAACCCTTCATACCTTCAGTAACACCCATCCTCTTCCTAGCAAATTTCCCTGGTGGGTGTATTATTATTTGTGGAGTCTTTAGGGCACAGAAACCAGCACGAGAGTGCTGCCAGAGGGCAGACAGTTTGCCTGGTTCAGTGCTTTGGTTCCCCAGGTGGAAGCCAAGCTCTAGCGAGGGGAAGGATCTCTGATGGGGCTGCAGGCACACCTGAGCGTCAGCTAGGCCGACCTGGACCAGTATCACATCAGCTCCGTTCTTCAGAAAAGGAGGCGCTCAGGCAGCTGTGCTCATGCAGCCCTGTCATCCCAGCACCTAGTAGGAGAGGCAGGAAGATCAGGAGTTCAAGGCTAGTCTTGGGTAGATAGGGAGCTTAAGGCTAGCATGAGTTACATGAGATTGTGCCTCAGAAAACCTAACAAACCAAAACACAAAAAATGAAAAACTGAACAGAGAGGGTGATTCAAGCCACCCAAAGACACCCAGTGAGGAAACTCCTCAGAACTAATTCCCAGTCTGGTTCCATAATCTCGCACCCCAGCCCTGCCCCATTCTTGTGTCTCTGCATAACTAGCTAAGGTCTCTTTCTTCTTCCTCCTTGTTCTTTTCCATTTTTTTAAAGATGGGGCTCATGGATGCCACACTAGGCTTGGACTTGCTATGTAGCTGAGGATAACTTTGAACTTCTGATTTCCTTACCTCCTCCTCCTCCCTAGTGCTGGGACTATGGGTGTGCACCAACTCAGGCAGTTTCATCCTTGCTGGGGATGGAACCCAGAGCTTTGCTCATGCTGGGCAAGCACTCTACCAAGGGGACAACGTCCCAGCCTCAGGGTCTCTTTCCTTCTCAATAGTAAATAGTCATTTGTTTTTCTCTTTTTTCCCAACTGCCTACAGGATCATCCGGACAAAAGTACAGCAGCCCCCCAACCAGCCAGTCCCAGCTTCCAGTCACAGCATAGGTAAGAACTTTTCAAAAAAATTTGAAAATCTAATGGGCTCCAAATATTCTAAAGAACTTTTAATCATTCTTATGGACAGATAATTCTGCATAAAACACTTCACACGCGTCCTAATGCTCCTTCTTTGTCATTCTCCAAGGGCTGAACCTGGCAAATGAATTTTATAAATACTGCTAAAAGGTTTTGAATTTTACTGATTATTATGATAAATAGCTTTCACCATGAGACAGAAAATTGAAATCTAAGCCAAAAAAAATCCACTAATGGGGGTCTATAGAATGTCAGATAATTAAAGTAATAAATCAAGAAAGGGATACTTATTCATAACATTTTCTGCATCATTAGTCAGTAAGTAGTTTTGAATGTGTTTTTTTTCTTCTATAACCAGCCTTCTGCAATTCTTTGTGCACTTGCAGTCTTGAGTGAAGATGTAGCAAAACTTCCCAAACTTTTTTTCTCTCTTGCTCTCGATTCGCTCTCTTGTACACTGCCAACCGTTGAGGGCTGCCTGTGGGGTTTCTGAGGTCCACAGGGGAAGTCTAAGAGTGACCATGACTCATAAGGGTGGAGTCACACTCTAAGGTCTAAACTTTTTCCTTGCTTCCTCTTCAAAGAGGAGTTGAAAATGACATCTATAATCAAGGCATATTCTTGATATCATTTCTCCATTTAGGACAAAGGAATATTTCTGGGTTGCTGAGGAAAAGTTACTCTACTGTAAGGAAGCAGGTGGTTATTCAGCAAGCCTCTGCCAGTTTGGGTGCTACAGACCCCAAGAATTCTGCAGCACTGCATCTCAGATTGTACAGTATTCCAGTCCATTTATCATTGCCAGTTACATCTGTGTGTATGCGCAGTGTGCATGCACTTACTTGAGGGGGCCAGAAGAGGGCGATGGATCCCTTGGAGCTGGAGTTACTGGTAGTCATAAGATATTTGATATGGGTTCTGGGAACTGAACTCAGGTCCTCTGGAAGAACAGCAAGTGCTTTTAGCCAACAAGCCATCTCTCCAGCCTCCACCGCCATTCTTTCTTTAAATAAAAACCTGAACTTCTCACGGTGATGAGAAAGAAGACTGGCAGAGGCCTGGCTTATAGTTTCAATTCTGGCATCAGCTCACCCAGTCAACTAGACAAGTATCTCACCTCTGAGCATCAGTCTCCCCCTTGTTATATGGGGGAGGAGCACAAACCAGGTGTTCCCTGAGTTCTCTGATCCTCTAAGGGTGACTCTTTGAAGGAAGGTAAGACAGAGTCCTGCCTGCCCAAGACCATTCTTTATTCTGTGCTGCCGTTGGGAAGACTTTACTGTGCCCTTGCTATGTGGACCCTGGGGTTGGAAATCGATGCCAGACAAAAATCCCTGTTCTCAAGGGCTTCCAGTCCCATAGGAGAATGTGGGAAGGGAGTTTGAAAAACAAGCAAACAAACAACACCCTACAAAACAAAGTAACAAACCAAAGCCCAGGAAGCGGGTCTGCATGAGTAGCAGGAAGGGCCATTTCTTTGCTGGGTGGAATGACAGGGTTGAGGAGGGTTTCCTGGGTGGGGTGAGGGGGTGTTTGTGGCTGAGATTTCACTTGTGGCTCTAACTGTCCCAGGGTATGTAGCATGAAGAAATAAAACTATCCTTCACTAGCCTTAGAGGAATAATTCTACAGTAATTCAGCAGAATGATATGTTTTGCCCCAGAAATTTCTATTAAAACTTTATCTCACAGGTCTACAACCTCATAGAGTTCACATACTTATTGAGCGTTGAGGACAACTAGAGCTCACAGATTGAGTGACTGCTCTAAAGTCATATGTGAAGCCAGAACAGGGCCCTGGGTCCTCTGTGCTCAGTGTGATTGCAAAACACCTAAGCAGTTGTTGTTGGTTCTGCCCGTGACACAGCCAAGCCTGTTTTCCATGTGGCTGTTCGAAGTGCCAAGTGAGCTCTCTGTTCCTTTGTTCTTTGCACCTCAATACAGAAGAGGTCATGGGATTTGCATAAATCTATTTTGAGGAGCTTTTCTGGTGAAGGGAAAGAGAAGTTAGCCATTTCTGCACTGGTGTCTCTTAAGGGAGATCTAAACTCAAGCTCAAATGTGAGCAGAAAGGCCCTGCACCCTCGAGGCAGGCTGCAGAGCTAGGGGCTGCCTCTGCTCCAAGGAAAGTGGCTTATTGCTCCAGCCACACCCTGCTCTGCAAAGTAAAGGCTCACCGCCTCTGGCTGGCTGCTCATGGAGAGGTGTGTGAGAGCGGTCTACTGGTCTTAATGAAGGGAGGAAGAAGCCCCACATCTCACAAGTGGAAATCCAGCCACATAGCTAGAGAGGATCTTCATAGGGCCCCTGGACTCTAGACTAGGAATCACTGTGAAACTTGCTGCAGGCCCCTCCCCTCCTTACCCTTTGGGACTTAGAGACCTGGCCCTGGCCACAGTAAGTCACCACCTCTGTTTCCACTTGCAGGAAGGGAAATTTTAGGCCTGAGGCTAACTATGAGTGCTGCTTAGCTAGATCACTTTGAATCTCTTCACCTTATGAAACTGACTTTCCTCATGTGGCAAATAGAAAAATAATCAGTAGCGCCCTGGGCTGTTGCAGCAACCGAGGGAAAAGCAGGGGATCAGTGGGAGACATGTCTTTCTCCAGTGTTCATCAGTGGAAGCATACTTCTTATTACACTTTATTTACTGTGTGTGTGTGTGTGTGTGTGTGTGTGTGTGTGTGTGTGTGTGTGAGTCTGTATGCACGCATGGCTGGAATGTAAGCAGAGGTGGACGTGACTCAAGTATGCATCTAGGTCTTTCCCCTGCATTGGAGGGGCACCAGCTGCCCTCCTCCCACATCCTCCTGTCTCCTGCACCCTTGGGCTGGCTGAGATCTTAGTAATCCCCCCCTTTTTTTTTTATTCTGCGCTTGTGTTCCTTTCTGCTCGGTCGGCGGGAGTTGTACCCAGCCCCATGTTTCTAGTGATCGCCCTGGTGACAGGCCCGCACCCCTCTCCTTCCACAGTGTCTACAGGCTCCGTGACGCAGGTGTCGTCGGTGAGCACCGACTCTGCAGGCTCCTCATACTCCATCAGTGGCATCCTGGGCATCACGTCTCCCAGCGCCGACACCAACAAGCGCAAGAGGGATGAAGGTAAGAGATGGCCGCGCATCCCGGTCAGGGATGGACCAAATAAGGTCTACGGGGGGCGCTCATACAGGGCGAGCAAAAGTGCCAGCTCAACACCCTCACCTGCAGAGGACTGGAGTTCCCAGGGCTCTGTCCTTTCCTCTGAGACAAGGAAGACAGACAGGCACCCGTCGGGACTCTTTCCCTGCTGGTTTACCCATTTCACTCCTTGGGTGAGAAGAGCCACTGTGGCCCGCGCTTTGCTGCTTTTGAGAGAGTCCTGAGGACAGATGGTGCCCCAGGGCTGCTGTGTAGACGGTCTTAGCTAAGCGACAATGTCTCCTTTGTGGGTTTTGGAGGCAAGAGATGGGTTGGGAAGGGCAACCACCGCTTTGCTCTGCAGTGAGGGCCACATGTGGGGAGAAAGGGCAGGAACTGGAAACACTGCTCTGTGGGAAAGCGGAGAGATGATGATGATGAAGGGCGGGGGGAAGTCAATAACCATCGCATTGTTGCCCTTGGACCTGAGATGAAGGAGTGCTGGGTCTCCTGGGGATTACAAAGATGACCTTCTCCTGTGCTGTCTGGGCTGTTGGAACTGGCCGCCTCTGTGTAGGACACAGACTACAGTGACCTGGTCTTCTTCCACTAAATGACCCCCTGGGAGTCTGTAAAACCTTAGTCAGAAAATGTGTGTGTGTGTGTGTGTGTGTGTGTGTGTGTGTGTGTGTGTGTGTGTGTGTGTGTGTGTAAGCTGTGGTCTGGGGCTGGAGAGCAGAGTGACAGAAACTTTGATTCAACTATCTGCTGGCACAATTCTTCCTTAGCATCATGTAAGGGATGTGTGTTGTCATGAATACATGCCTAACTACTTAAGATTTGTAACTAGAAAGTTTAGTCAGCCCAGTGGTGGATTGGCCTGGGGTCTTCAGGGCCCCAGGCATTGGAGCTGGCCTCAGTGTGCAATGGTAGTCCAAGCTGGCATGATTCATGGCTCTCAGAGCGTGCTTCACCCCCTTCCCCTGCTCCCATACTTCGGAACAGATGTCAGAAGTCTTTAGCTCAGTGGGTTGCTGTGCCAGCTTGCTGCGGGAGGCAGTGGGCCTGCCATCTCTGTTGGTTTATGGGGTTGATGGTGTTATCTTTTTCCTCCATGTCACCTGGACTCTAAGCAGATGTACCAAGCTGGTGCCTGGCTATGTTTGATCCCAGTGAAGGGATGGCTTATAGGATGCTCCTTTGCAGCTAAAAAACTCAGGCAGAGAGTTTTGGAGAAAGCAAAATAATAATAATAATAATAATAGTAATAATAATAATAATCTAGTTTAATGTTTATGGACAGATTCTGATGGGGCATGGTGCTAGAGAAGTCTGTGGGTTAACTTGATCAAAGAAGCTTTTGACCTTCCAGCCAGGCACACAGTAGGTCATAGGTGGCACATAGTAGGTGGTTGATGTCCTTGAAAGTTCTGTTGGTCAGCTTGTTTACTGAGGATGGTGGCTGCTCTGGAGATACTAATTTTAAAACATTTATTTATTTATGGGTGGGGGTGCACAGTGCCATCGTGTGCACGTGGGGATCAGAGAACAACTCTCAGGAGTTGGGGTGTGCATGCTGTAATCCTAGCACTTGGCAGGCTGAGACCACACTATGAGCCCAGAGTCAATGTGAGCTACACGCTGAGGGCCTGTCTCAAAGACAACAGAAAACCAAGAACGAGGGTTCACGATGACATGTAGGACTGGATGTTCTGCTCCTACCAGTTCTGGAACTCTAGTAGAGTCTTGAACCCTGGGAAGAGGTCAGGTGAAATTTCTGTCTGTGGTTCAGAGGCTAAGACAGGAAGACTTGATAGTCTTGGGAGGTCTTCAGGTTTGAGAAGAATGAGGACCTGAGTGAGGCCCCTCTCAGCTGCCCTGCTTCAGCAAGAGCAGAGCAGCTCGAGCTGAGAAGGGGCTCCTGTTGGGGAGATGTCTCAGGGGCGGGGGCACTGACAGGTCTCCTCGTCCTTTCTCATCCTCCCTCTGTCTTGTGGATCCCTGAATTAGCCTCAAAGAAAGGTGAAGGGGCAGAGCCAGCACCCCCACTTTATCAGGGACGGTAACCAAGGATCCAGGGTGCTCTGTGCCATCGACAGTCACATGCATAGCTTGTGTAGACTGGGAAGTAAAGGAACTGAAGAACCCCGAGGTTTCACCCCCTGGTGTTATCTGGACGCTTGCCACTGCCTGATCTTCCAGAGAGGAGCTGCGGAGGTGAAGCAGCCTGGGGCTGGGTAGACCCTTTGGTGGGTATGGAAGAGTGGCAGGCAGCAGAGCATGGTCAGTAGGTTGGATGATGTTGAGGGTGTGGTGAAGTGAGACCTTGAGGTCAGGGGTTTGGGAGCAGAGAGAGTATGATTCAGTAACCAGGGCAACACAAAGAATAGCTGGGCCCGGCGGGGGCCAGCTGGGATGAGACTTCACACCGTGGATATGGGAGGGTGCTGATCTCCAGGATGGTAAGCAGGCTGCAGGAAGAGTATCTTCAGGAAAGGGGTATTCAAGAGTCAGGAGGAAGACAGCCGGGCATCTCGTTCCATGTCTTCATGAGGCAACTAAGGCTTCCCAGTGGATTCCCCCACTCAGTTCGCTGGTGCACTATCATCTCCAGCTTGGCCTCGGGTTTTGCCCTGTGGGTATTTCCTGCCCAGACCCCAGGTTTGGGGAGCCGATGATGGGACACAGTCTCATGCTGAGGGCAGGCTAGGGGGGTCAAGACTGAAGGCTCCAAGTCTCTCCAAAGGGCTAAGTATGAGGTGACACTCCCCGGGGGTGGGGTGAGCAAGGCCGAGAGGAGAGCCGAAGGGTCTCGGAAGACCCTTCTCAGGAGATGCATCATCAGGAGAACATGCCGGTCCAAGGTGATGGAGAGCGTGCCCGTCTGGGACGCCAGTGAGCAGGTACAGAGAAAGGACCAGCTCCAGGACTTGGACAGGGAGAGAGGTGGCAAACATGTCAGGTGGCTCGATAATGGCTGTAACCCCCAAAATTTTAGTTTGAAAATAGAGACTCAAGAAATACTGTGCTGAATGTTTGGGGGTGTTGGTGTGGTTTTGGAAGTGATTGGCCCACCAGCCCCGTTCTGTAGAAACAGAACAAAAGCCATAGGTGTCATTAACCACTCTCTGGAGACCAAACAGTAACAAGAAGGGCAAGAGTGACCGTGTCCTCCTAGCACTTGGAGGTGGGATTGAGTTCAAGGCCAGCCTAGCCACACCTAAGACTGTCTCAAAAAGACTAAAATCAAATCTGGGTGTGTTAACACACACGAGGATCAAGAGTTCAAGGTCAGCTTCTGACCACTTAGTAAGTTTGAGGCTAGCTTGGGCAATGGGAGCCTGGTTTCAAGAGATAAACAAAAACAAACAAAAGATCAACCAACCAATTCCCCACCCCAACCCGATAATGAGTAAAAAGAAAAAGAAAGTAATGGAATTAGAGGTTGAGAAGATGGCTTGGCGGGTAAAGTACTTGCCACACAAGCATGAAAGCCTGGGTTTGGACCCCCTGCACCCTAAAAAGCTTCAAGCAGTGGTGTGAGCCTATAATCCTGCTCTGGGGAGACAGAGGCGGATGATCCTTGTGCTCACTGGCTGACCAGCCCAGCTGAACCGCTAAGCTCCAGGTTCATTGAAAATCCTGTCTCGCTGGGCAGCAGTGGCGGTGGCACACGCCTTTAATCCCAGCACTCCGGAGGCAGAGCCAGGCGGATCTCTGTGAGTTCAAGGCCAGCCTGGTCTACAGAGCGAGATCCAGGACAGGCACCAAAACTACACAGAGAAACCCTGTCTCGAAAAACCAAAAGAAAAAAGAAAGAAAGAAAGAAAGAAAACCCTGTCTAAAAAATAACCTGGAGGGCGATGGAGGAAGACACATCACGTGACTCTCTGGCCTCCATATGCTTTTACACCAACCCACACTTGTGTATGCTCATACACACACTCACACAGAAACAAGTGGAATTAGTCTTAATAACATATTTTCCTAGTCTGAACATCACTTTGATATATAATCAAATCTTCAGATAATGCCACACTGCCTCTTTTTGTTTGAACTAAGTTGTTGAAATATGGTGTACATTTTACACGCATAACACATCTCAGTTTGGACCCCAAACATCTGCAACCTCCAATCAGATGTTGTCAATCCTGTTTTTTCTGTGGCTTTTTTTTTTTTAAAGATTCATTTATTTATTATGTATACAGTGTTCTGCCTGCATGCATGCCTGCAGGCTAGAAGAGGGCACCAGATCTCATTACAGATGGTTGTGAGCCACCATGCGGTTGCTGGGAATTGAACTCAGGACCTCTGGAAGAACAGCCAGTGCTCTTAACCTCTGAGCCATCTCTCCAGCCCAGCTTTTGTTTTTTTTTTTTAATTGCTATTGGTTTTAAATTTGTTAATTAGTATTACTGTTGTATACGTGTGATGTGTATAGGCTAGGGCATTCACATGTCATAGAGTGGAGTGTAAAGGTCAACTTCGTGGACTCGGTTCTCTCCTTCTACCTTTCTATGGTTGAAGTCCTGTCAGCAAGCGTGTGCCACAAACACTTTGACCCTCTGAGTCACCTCACCAGCCTAGTTTCTGTTTTTAAAATTTAAGTACATTGAAATGAAATGAAATGAAAAAAAAATTAGACAAATGTGGTTGGTAGACCATGCCTATAATCTCAGCACTTGGGGAAATGATGCAGGAGCATGGGTTGCTGCGGGTCTGACGGCAACCTGGATTGTATCGTGAGTTCAAGGCCAGCCTAGGATACATAGCCAAACTGTTTTAAAACAAGAAGAAAAACTTTAGTTCTCAGTTGTACTAGCCGTATTTCCAATGTTTACCCATCACAGTAGGCTAATGGCTACTGTATTGAACAACGTCAAGCATGTAATAGATGTTCAATAAACGCTTACTGGTAGAATGGGTCACTCATGTGCCTTCAGAGAGTTCATAATTAATGAGGAGAGCAAATGAGGTCTCTGGTC